GCTGAAGACACCGGTGTCACTACTGGAAACGGGATTTTTGCCGAGTACAAACTGCTTTGCCGAGTGTCAAAAATCGAGCATCTTCTTTGCCGAGTGCCGCACTCGGTAAAGAATTGCACTCGGCAAAAAAAGGCTCTCGGCAAAGGACTTCTTTGCCGAGTGTCAGGATCTCGGCAAAAGAGCAGCACTTGGCATAGGCTGCCCCACGTAACGGTGTTCGGCCACGTCCTTCTTTGCCGAGTGCCTGTTGTTAGGCACTCGGCAAATAAGGTTTATTTGTCGTGATGAAATGTGATGGATGAGATATATGATTGTATGAATTTATTTGTCACGATGGAATATAAAAAAAAAATTAAAAATTGCCGTTTTGGGTCACTTTGTCGAGTGTTGCACTCGGCAAAGGACCCCATTGTCGAGTGTCATGGTCACAGCACTCGGCAAAGCTGGAAAATGGGCGCTCGAAAAACCATTTTTCCAGCTTTGCCGAGTGCCATGACCATGGCACTCGGCAAATAATTTTTTTTCAAACTTTACCGAGTGCCGGCCATAGGGCACTCGGCAAAGAATTTTTTTTTTAAAAAAATTCAAACTTTGCCGAGTGCCGCCAAGAGGGCACTCTGCAAAGAATTTTTTTTAAAAAAAATTCAAACTTTGCCGAGTGTCGCCAAGAGGGCACTCTACAAAGAATTTTTTTAAAAAAAAAATTTAAACTTTGCCGAGTGCCGGCCAAAGGGCACTTGGCAAAGAATTTTTTTTAAAAAAAAATTCAAATTTTGCCGAGCACCGGTTAGTGGGCACTCGACAAATATTTTTTTTAAAAAAATAAAAAATCTTTGCCGACTGCCTATAGGGTTGGCACTCGGCAAAGCCACCGTCAACGGGGCCGGCGCCGTGACGGTCGCTTTTCTTTGCCGAGTGCCCCCGGGGCTCTCGGCAAAGCCTTTGCTGAGTGCCCGATAAAAGACACTCGGCAAAGAGAACTTTGCCGGTCAATTTTTTACCGTGTGTTCTTTGTCGAGTACAATTTGACCTTTATCGAGTGTCTCAGGCACTCGGCAAAGAACCTGAATCTAGTGTGTCCTTGGTGTGGATGTCTGCCTCACTGATTATTGTGAGGTTTGGGTAGCGGTAGGCAGCCATCTTATCCGCTTTGTCCTGTGTATTTTGCAAACGAAGGCTAGGATTAATTTCAGGAAGAGCTATGGTGATGCATAAAATAAAATGTGGTAACATGCAGAGTTCGGCTGGCATCATATAGAATCTAAAAGCGAGATGGATATGTTACAGCGAGGTGCCATCTGCACCCTAAGTGAGTTGCAGGAACAGTGCCCTTGAAATTGAGTAATATGTAAATAAGATCACACTGCATAGGTCGGCGCGCTATGGGTAAGACGGCAATAAATAATCATGTGAGATCTAGATCGTCAGATTCAGTAGTTTTTGGGTGTGTTTAGTGCGATGAACAACGCCTTTTTTTTTTGGGCGGACAGAGCTAGGCATAGTATTTTATTGATGTATTGAAGAAATCTGGAAGTCGAAATATTAAGCTGGATAATTATAGCATAGAGCTGAAATTTACCTGTTGTCGCTTCGGCTGAGTCGGCAGCGGTTGTGCTGGGTCACCTGGTGTTGACCAGGACAGTCACCGGTGGATGTGCGAGGCACGTCGTACGGGAGGGCTGTGGGGACGTACACGTTTTCGTTTGAGAAACGTGGTGGATCTAGGGGGCTGTTCGGCTGGCTGGCCGGTGGCTGGTCAGGCTGAACAGTATTTTTTTCTCACAACAATTAGCTGGAATAGTATTTTGGTTTATTTTTCAGTCCTACTGAACAGACTCTAGGGTTGTAAGCTGGATCTTCACATGTTTCAGGCCATATGCGGGGGGAGGAAGGAGGTGTCTGCGGGGGTGGACACGGCGGTTGGACGGTCATGGTGGGTCTAGGGTTTACATTTGCCGGGTTATGCGCGGTGGATTCTGTGGGGATGGACCAAGAGGGAGGAGGGGCGGATTTGCGGGGTGCATATGTGGCGGAGCTGGCAAGGGGTGGGGACAGATGGGGAGAGGTGGGGGAGGTGGTAGCGGGGTGGCGGCGATGGGTTGAGTGGAGTGGGTGCCGATTTGGGGAATGCGTGGATGGGGAGCTGTGCCTATGAGGGGCGATGTTGATGAAAGACGAAAGAAGAGTGTGGAAGGCTGGCGACCCCTCCCTTTTTTTCCTTTTTTTATCAGGAATGCTATACAACACACATGTGTTTTTAGGAGAAAAAACACATGGATTTTTTCTCTCTCTTTTTTCACCGGTCATCACCGGCTCCTGAACCTGTCGGGCACTTTGGACCTGTCGGCCACGATGGCGCAGCGCGTGTCCACGTCGTTGGCTCGCAGGTACCAGCCGAGCATCTCCTCCAGCCAGCCCCAGTCGCAGATCCTGTACGCGGCCACCATCTCCTCCATGGACGCCCGGAAATCCGCGTACGGGTCCGCGGACTCGAACGCGACCGCCACGGCAGTACTCCACCTGCCCCGTTCATATGCTGCGATTTGTGATTTGTCCTTCCATATAAAAAAATATTTTTTTGATCTGTGGATCTGTGATCTTGTGATCGTCTAGAGGTAGAAGAAGACTAGAGGTAGAAGAAGGCTGGAGATAGAAGAAGGATGGAGGCTGTTGGATCTTAATTCTATGGTGCAAAAAAATTCATGTGTTGAAACTGCATAAAACACATGGTTATTGAGTAGACAGACTCTTTTTTTATTCCCCACGTGTTCGGTGACAGGGAATTTTTCCCTGGGCCTTTTTGTTTGGTGCTGTCTTGCTTGTGTTGACCACCTCCTTTTTCCCCTATGCTAACGTCCATGTGTTTCCATGTCGTGGGCCAATTGAAAATGGTCCAGGGGCATGTTTTTTCCTCTTGTTCTTTCTTTTTTACCCTTTTTTTTTTTTTTTTGCTCTCCCTTTTTTTCCGTTCAGATGTTTTTTCCCTTTTGTTGTTGTTGTCTATGTTTCTGTTTTGTGCTCGTGGCTTCATTTTAGGTAAATTTTATGGGGGCATAGTAACAACCACGCACAAGGCCACGTTGGTGGATGGTAACGTATGCATAGCAAGGAAACGGAATTTTTGTACATGGTAAGGTACCGAGTTTGATGCATACTACATTAACAGGGGTGTCATTGATGTTTTTTGTTCCAGGGACATCTAGGCGGAGAAACATTCCAGTGTGGAGGAGGAGGTGACTGTCCGAAGTAATATGCTGGGGCTAGAAGCACAGTATCCTGGATGTTACACGGTGGGCGGGGCTTAAAACGAGCACATGAGTCTATGAAAGTCGTAGAGAGTCCTAGGCTAGAAACGTCAGGCAACAGCATAGTGCCCTGGCTATTATCAGCCTGTTCGGGAGGCCGTATCATATCGTGAATTATTTATTGCTGGCTGGTTTGGTGTGAAAGAAAAACACTATTCTCGGCTGAAAATTTACGATCATTTACGAGCAAGCGAACAGGCTATATACAACAAAAGGGCCTGGACAGTGTTGCCGCAGCTGTGTTTACAACAAGAGTGCTCCTTTTCGTGGCTTGGATCGGTGGAACTGAAGGATCTTGCTTCAGGTGGCACAAAATTAAGTTTGGGCCCGCCATCCTTTTTAATTTTCTGGGATGCTGTTTCTTGCTTTGAGAGGCCAAGAACTGTTAACTCAGTAAATGATACGTGTTTCTAATACTAACTGCATGACAAGGAGGATGTGAACGTGTTCATTAACAATTAATTTCTGTGTGTACTACATCAAGCACACGGTCCAAGGAACTAAAGGCATGTTTAGATTCCAAAAATTTTTAACCCAAAGTATTACATCGAATCTTGCGGCACATACCTGGAGTACTAAATATAGACAAAAAAAACTAATTGCACAGTTGATGAGAAATCGCGAGACGAAACTTTCGAACCTAATTAGTCCATAATTAGACACTAATTACCAAATACAAACGAAAGTGCTACAGTACCCAAACAGTACCCAAACCCAAAAAAAAATTTAGGAACTAAACACGCCCTTAGCTATACACATTTTTGGGATGTAAGCCAGGAAAATCTGGCAGGAACCTGAAAGGCCTGACAAAAAGTGAAGTTGCATAATATTTGCCAGCTAAGGAAAGCGCAGGTAAGAAACCATTCTGCTGCAATTGGTGGTATTGGGTCCAGTTTAATTCCAAAAAATTTTGCAAAATTTTTCAAGATTTCCCGTCACATCGAATCTTTGGACGCATGCACGAAGCATTAAATATAAATAAAAAATAAAACTAATTACACAGTTTAGACGAAATTCACGAGACGAATCTTTTAAGTCTAATTAGACTATGATTGACACTAATTGTCAAATAACAACGAAAAAGTGCTACAGTGGTATTTTGCAAAAAATTTCGCCATGTGAACAGGCTGTTGGATGAAAAGAAATAACGAATGAAGCAAAGGGCTACCTGGGCTGCAGTATTTCCCTAGGGCACACAGTGGGGACTACCCTTTGGGTGATTCTTGGGGGCACCAGATCTAGCTCTGAAAGTCATACACACGTATATGTCACTTAGTGTGTAAGGTTTGATAAATTAAATTGGACCGGTGGGTTTATATGTGTACCTCTTTCCTTTTGACTGCAGTGGCGGATCATTTGGACCGGTACGCTTATCTTGCATGATCTCTTCCGCGTTTAGATCCTGGTCTTCTGCGTTTTTCTGTGGATTGAAAGAAAGCTGGGTTACTAACCTGTGGTGTGTCTATGTAATAAGGGGGTTGTAAATATGCACGAATCCACCTCAAGATCAGCAGTGTCTTCTCCAAAAAGTTTCCTGCGAGCATCTCTTGTCCTTGTTGGCGACCTGGACCATATAGAAGGGCATTTTTATTGCAATTTCCCCCCTTTTTTTCCCAAATAAAGCTAACGCTCAATAGCACCCAAAGGGTAAGCGTTTCTTCTTAGAGCTGAGTAATCTTCAGGTATTAGTGTGGCTTACTTGGTAAGAAGATCCTTTAGGGGTGTATTGTCTGGGTCATCTGCTAGAGCAGGTGTCTGTGCATGAAGCGAGGAAATATGTCTGTGCAGTTGCCGAAACTTGAAACGAATTATAAACAATTTAGAGGCGGAAATCTGGTTTACCGATGAAGTTCCACCATCAATGGACAAAGCTTCTGGTTGAGGTGGCGCACTCTGCAGAATGTTAGGGGTACTTGGTGGATACACGGCGGTGGTCGCCGGAGCTGGGAGTAGCTGTTTATCCGGTGTATCAGCAACAGGGATAGCTGCCTGTGTAAAACACGAGCAAGGAAACTCTTGTAGGTGTACATCTTTGAAGTGAAGCATGAGCAATCTGGAGGACATAATATAATCGGCCTGTTCGCTGGATGGTTTCTGGACTGGTTTAGACTGGCTGGTGCTAGTTTGTTGTGAGAGAAAAATACTATTGACTGGCTGTTTTGGGCTAGCGACACCGATGAGCTCCCGGTGTCAACGGAGACAGGTAGCGACTGAGTTTGCAGACCCTGTGGAGTACCAGGGGCATTCACCAACTGTATGGAACCAGTTACCGGGGCTGGAAGAAGCCATGGAGCCGCTGTGGGGGAGACAGCATTGATTGGTGCGGCACGCCTGCCTGGTCTATCCAAAATGGCTTTGACCAGATACTGCCTCTTTGCTTTAGAGGTATATGAGTCTTCTGTTAGGGCAACGGAAAAAATAAACCTCTTGGTAATAACGGACTGGAGGGCCTGAGGCAAACCAGCTGCTATGTTCAATGGGTTCAGAACATATTTGCATTCCTTCTGAATAATTTGCTTCGCTATGTCATCATATGCAAAGAAGTTTGCTTCGGCAGTGTCGTCTCTAGCAACGAAAGATAGCAAGTACCTGCGTGGTTTTACATGAGAACTGGTTAACACTGCACTGTGCACAAGGGCCTCACGGTGTAGGCTGCCTGGTTTAGTGCAGGAAGGAGCAATAATTACCTAGGCGTGGTGGCTGAGCCATGGCATTTTGTGCATTTGTACCCACCAGCAGGCTGTGGATTGGATTTTTTCTTGCATCCCTGACAGGACATGTACCACCAGCTGTTATCGTCAGACGTCAGGTATGAATGTGATAGCCACCGTGCATTTATAGCCCTGATCCTATTATGGGACAGAAGACGATGTCAGACAAAGGATAAAAGCGAAAGTATTGAGTACAGTAATGTGATGGGTGCGACCTAGATTTTACCTCAAAATCATATGGGTTTATGGTATTGAGCTCAGCTATTGTCTTGTGCTTTAGTAGGGTCTTGTTTAGATGCCATCTAAATTTCAAGTTTTTTCACTCTCTCTCCATCACATCAATTTTTAACCGCTTGCATGCAGTATTAAATGTAGGTAAAAAAAATAACTAATTACACAGTTTAGTTGAAAATCACGAGATAAATCTTTTGAGACTAGTTGGTCCACGATTGGACAATATTTGCCAAATAAAACGAAAATAATACTATTCATCAGGTTCACTTTTTTCGCAATCTAAACGAAGCCTAGATTGATCTGTGGCTGTATAGGTACCTGTTCTTCAGATGGCGGAGGGCGCTCTATGTAAATGGGTTGGTCCTTGAACCTATTTTATGAACAAACAATCATTAAGCAATAATCAGTCTTATAGTGTGGATGTGGTAACGTTAGAGTGAACATGCAGAGATACGAATAAAATGCATCTTGTTGACCTGTCATAAAATGGGTCGGCTTCCACTATCGGACTCCTTGAGTTTGCCGAGTACTCGAAATACTCGGTAAAAGACATAAAACACTCGACAAATAGTTCGCTGAGTGTAACACTCGGCGAACAGCACTCGTCAAAAACAGTGACGGTAAAGCCAATTTTGCCAAGTGTCTTTTATCGGACACTCGGCAAAGGCTTTGCCGAGTGCCCGACACTCGGCAAAGTTGAAACAAAAAAAAACCCGAAAAAATGAGAATTTTTACCCAAAAAATTGATTTTTTTATCGATGGAGGCCCCCACCGGCCAGCGTCCACCCATCTACGACATTTTCCATCCATCTACGATATTTTTCGCGTGAATTTCATGGCTACGCCATGACGCGATTCGAACCCGAGACCTCCCGCTGTGCACGTACCTCCTCTACCACTACACCACACTCTCACTTGTGTCTGGATTCCGTTTTAGTTCCCAATATATTATACTAAACCGAGTGTAAATTGCATGTTTGAGGCCCTAAATGAATTCAAATAAAAAAGTTGTAAACTATAAAGTTTCATAACTTTTCGAGATCTACACTTTTAGTTTAGTAAGTTTTTCCATCCGAGGCCGTTTACAAAATTTGAATTTTAAAATTTTGAAATTCAAACACAGTTTTGCATGACAAGATGTTTTCAAATCAAAAAGTTGTTAACTACAAAGTTTCATAACTTTTCGAGATCTACACTTTTAGTTTAGGAAGTTTTTCCATCCGAGGTCGTTTACAAAATTTGAATTTTAAAATTTTGAAATTCAAACACAGTTTTGCATGACAAGATGTTTTCAAATCAAAAAGTTGTCTACTACAATGTTTCATAACTTTTCGAGATCTACAGAGTTTATTTTGGTTGTTTTTTCATCCGAGGTCGTTTGAAAAGTTCGAATTTTAAAATTTTGAAATTCAAACGCAGTTTTGCATGACAAGATGTTTTCAAATCAAAAAGTTGCCAATTACAAAGTTTTATAACTTTTCGAGATCTACAAAGTTTATTTTAGTTGTTTGATCATCTGTTCATCCGACATGGTCGTTCTAACATTGTTCACAAATCTTATACATCTCTCTTATAGTTTCATAAACTACAAGAGAGATATGTTAGATTTGTGAACAAATTTATTTTCACTTTGTCGTATGAAGAAAAGACCAAAACAAACATTGTACATCTTGATGAGTTATACAACTTTGTAGTTGAAAACTTTTTCATTTGAATTAATTTACTGCTTCAAAATGTGCTTTGAAATTTTCTTTGCCGAGTGTAAAAAAAAAACACCCGGCAAAGAAGCTCTTTGCCAAGTGTCAAAAAAACACTCGGCAAAGAAGCTCTTTGCCGAGTGTAAAAAAAAACACTTGGCAAAGAGTCTCTTTGCTGAGCGTAAACTGTTATGCCGTGAGTTGTGTCTTTGCCGAGTGTCGTCTTTGGGACACTCGGCAAACACCATGTTTGCCGAGTGCCCGAAATCTTGCCCACGGCAAAGGTGGGGACACTCGGCAACTTAGGTGTTTCCGGTAGTGTTCTTTAATAGCTGGGTTTAGGTAATAGTGACAGGCACTGCCACCACTAACATAGGGCCTATCTGTGATGTCCCCTGAGTACCATTTCCTTGGCATGCAGCCAACAAAGAGACCCACAACCACCTTGGGATTATCCTGGGTGTTTAGATGTTCAACCGTGAAATTTATTGCCTGGTCACCCCACAAGGTTATCCTGAGTTCATTGTCACTACAGAAAAAAGGCCCGTTGTTAGCATTCATAATGAGGGGTTAAAAGTAGATGGTCAAAGGTAATCAAAGAATATGCAGTATATTATATGCGTTAACCTCATATCTTTTATGAAGACTTCTCTAAGGATACTTCCTCTTTCTTTGCCTCTTGGAACTATAGATGACAGCGAAGTATACTTTGTAATGTAACCCAGGACATCTGTGAATAATGAACGGTGTCAGTTTTTTTGTTTTCTTTTTCCTCATGGAACTAAACATGCTTTCCTTCTCTATTTTTTCCTTTGGTATGCCTATTCGATAGAGAAAAGAAAAAAGCAGTCATAATGCGCGAATCATTTCGTTGTAACATACAAATTTACCTGTGTATGCACTAACTAGGCCATCTGCAGGAATTATTCTGGTAAATGGAGTGAGTTTGTAGACGTAGGCTGGAAACGTGTTCGGTGGATTTTGGGTTGTGCGGATCGAAGTGTATTCTGAGAATTCTATCATGAGCTGGGCATCGAAGGGCTTGTAAGTTGGCTTTGCAGCAGCCACTTTTTCACAGCGCCATTCACTGCTTTTTCACAGAGCAAAAGATAGATTTGTTGGTTCATACACCGGCAAATGCCAGGAAAATACATCCACACAGGCATAAGAAGACAATCAATACAAATCAATAACACCGCTAGCTTATCTGACCGTGATCAGTGTACATAGCAACAAAAGTTACAAGGCTACGGTATATATATATATATATATATATATATATATATATATATATATATATATATATATATATATATATATATATATATATATATATTTGTATTTACATCCGCATCCGGTATATCAGGAGGTTACTACTCTAGCGTGCAGATGGTAGGTACGCCAGGACTTCTCTGTAGACAACGTTTCTTGTTTCGTTGGAGCAATCACCATGGTCATCTTCTATTAGAATTTTGAGGCCATTCTTGGTCGTTACACGTTACACAGCTACATAGAGCTGACCATGTGAAAAAACAGGCCTCCTGAGGTAAACACCAACAGCTGACAAGGTCTGACCCTGGCTCTTGTTAATCGTCATGCCATAACATACCTTAATTGGGTACTGCCGCCTTTGAAGGACAAATGGCCACTTATTATTTTTTAAGGTGAGAGTAATCCATGGAATGATAACATCTTGTCCAGAGTGGTTCCCGATCATTATTTTGGCCTCTATCACCATCTGTCCTAACGAAACTATAATCAACCTCGTGCCATTGCAAAGACCATCCGATTGGTTGAGGTTCCGGAGGAGCATTGGGCCGGGGACCCCTTTTTTGAGTACCAGCCGATGCTGAGGAAAGTTGTTTCCATTAATTGAGTTTAGAAATTCAACAGGATATAACAGATCATAGGTTTCATTTGGGCCAACCGATTTTGCTATGCTATCAGAACTAAGATATTCCCTCTCTGATCCTGGCAACTGTGAGACGATGTGATCATTTATGGAATCAGTTAACTCATTCGTTGGAGTGAGTATGGCCCTTTCACTGAGATATGAAGCATCATGGTACCGTGTTTTTAGCTCTGGATAAATGGCATTAACTATACATGAGAGCTTGTCTCCTTCGGTTAGTAAAAGCAATTCTGTAGGTATCTTAATCCATGAAGGTTCAGTCTCACCTTCCCTGGCTACGGAAGGTATCTTCCCTTCTCCAACATCTAAGATCCACTTGCTAAACTCTGCAAGCTGTTTCTGATAATCTGGGTCTGATGAGGAGGAGGCAAGGCGCATATTTTGGAATAAGCCTAATACCTCAACCTGTGACCAGAGCCTTGAATTAATTGTTAGCCCACAGGATCACTGGCTTAGGTGAGTCGACTACTCACCAGTCTTGCCGAGCACCCGCTAGTGCTGTCGAGCACCCGCTAATGTTGCCTATGCCGACCACGAACAATCGTTGTCCGACCACACACACTATGGCTAGAGGTAGAAGAAGAGGGAGAACAGAGCATACACACACAATACAAGTGTTAGCTAATTTGTTGCAATGTAATCTTTGTTTATGTTAGAGTCCAACGTCAGTTAGGATAGGGGCAAGGCATGGTCGATGACATGCTCGATCATGATCTAGCTTGTCTGTCGGATTCGGTCGAACCCACGCCGTGGCACACGGCGCATGTGGCACGATCATGTGAAGCGGTCTGGCCTTTTGTGCGGCACTGGCGTGGGGAGTTTGTGTAAACTCGAGTATATAAATATAAGAATAGAGGGGCGAAATAAGCTGCGTTTTAGCCGCGTCATAATCCACCTTTTCTCGTTTTATTGTTATTGTGTTTCCATCTACTCGCAAGGCTCGTCGCGGTCACCGCCCCGCCGCCATTCGTCGACGTTCCAGGCGACTCAACAGATCGGGTTCCAACAATTGGTATCGGAGCCGAGGGGTGACGTTCGTCGGTGGTGAGAAGGAGTAGAGGAAGTGCGGTGGTGCAATCCATCAAGTCGGAGAAGAGGAGATGTAAACGCCAAAGCGATCGCCATGGGAGAGGAGAGCAACAAAGGCGGAGAAGGAGACGATGGGAGCGGGCGTTTAATCGGGCGCCGGAAGCAGCGTGGCCGATGTTGACTCGCACCAACTACCGTGGTTGGTCATCCCATATCCAAAGGCAATCTCGAGGGATGTATCTACGGGATGCGATCGAGGATGAAAAAGTCGAAAGACGCCGAGATCGGCTGGCACTGGGAGCGATGCTCCGGGGAGTGCCACAGGAGATGCATTCCATGCTCTTGAACAAGAAGACGGTGAAGGAGGCTTGGGAAGCAATCAAGACGATGCGTCTTGGAGCAGATCGCGTCAAGGAAGTTAACGCTCAAAAGCTCCTGGCCGAGTTCGAGGCGATCGCGTTCAAGCCGGGAGAAACAATTGATGACTTCGCAATCCGGATCACCAAGCTTGTCACGGATCTGCGCGGCCTCGGGAGGAAGCGTGACCGATGCACGCGTGGTGAAGAAAATTCGCCAGCGTGGTGCCGTCTCGCTACAGCCGGTGGCGTAGCAATCGAGATGTTCAAGGATCCGAAAAACTTGACCATCGAGGAGCTGATCGGCCATCTACGGGCGGCCGAGGAAAGATTTGAGCCCTCGATGGAGCAAGTCACGGAGAAAGCCTAAAAACTCCTGTTAACGGAGGAAGAATGGGCTGAGAAGAACAAGAGTCGCATGGTGTCAGAATCATCCACATCTACTGCAAAGGGTGGTGGAGGCGGTGGACACTTGTTGAAGAAGGAGAAGCACTGGAGGCGCAAGAACAATGCCTTTGGTGAAGGGCGTGAGCCCGAACTTACATCGATGGGAACACCACGACGGAAAGGAAAATGCCGCAAGTGCGGCGTCTATGGGCATTGGGGAAAGGAGTGCAAGAAAGCACCTCCGAAGAGAGCGGAGAGGCCGCGCACCATGCCAATCTTGACGGAGAGAATGGAGCTTTGTTGGGGCTTGGTGTGTAATGTGGTTCGATCCACGGCAGCAGCTTACTACAGCAGTGTTCTGAATCGAGAAGCGCGTGTTCCGGCATCATACGACCGGGCGTGGGTACTCGACATTGGCGCCACAAATCATATGACGGGTGCCGTGAATCATTTGGCGTCGCTTCGATGAGACAGATCAAAAGGCGGTGCGGTTCGGAGATGGATCGAAGGTTGAGATCTGCATGGGATCGGTGCGATCATGATCATCGGGAAGAACCAAGATCATTGAGTACTCGGCCGAGGTATATTACATACCATCACTCCGTTGCAACATTGTTAGCCTTGGGCAAGCGGAGGAAAAGTGGGCTGCCGTGTGGAGATAGATCGCGGGGTCATGCGGTGTTTGAGCGCTCACAAGGGAAGATGAGTGTTACGATAAAGGCGGAGAGGAAGAAACGACTTTACATCATGCGAGTCAACCTCACCGTACCTATGTGCACGATGGCGAAGATGGACGAGGTGGCGTGGCTCGGCATGCACGCGGTATGGCCATTTAAATTTCAGGTCGCCCGTGATCGGGGGCAAAGGAGATGGTGGATGGCGCCCCATCGATCCACCGTGCCAAGCAAGTTTGCGATGGTCTGCGACTGCAAGCAAGCACCGCGCGCCTTTTCCTCGAGCATCGGCGTGTCGAGCAAACACGGACTCGAAAGTGGTGCATGGAGACCTATATGGTCAGATCCACCAGCCACACCGGAGGCAAAATTTGTACTTTCCTGTTACTCGTCGATGACTTCGGCCGTTATATATGTTTGGGAGCTGTTGAGGTCAAAGGATGAAGCTTTGCAAGTTTCAAGAAGGTGAAGGCGGTGTTGAGCCGAATCTGGAAAGTGATCAAGGCATTCAGAATCCCAGCGAGAGGAGGCAAATTCAATTCAGTGTGTTTCTGAGTTCATTGTAATGAAAATGGTATTAAACACAATACAAGCGCACCATATTCCCCGCAAAGCAAAATGGCGTAGTAGAGCGGAGAAACCAATCGGTTGTGGAGATGGCTCGCTGCTTGCTCAAGAGTATGCAGGTTCCTGGCCGGTTCTGGGGGGAGGCAGTAATGGTGGCGGTGTACTTGCTTAATCGAGCACCGATGAAGAGCCTGGATGGCAAGACGCCTTACGAGGTGTGGTTTGGCAAGAAACTTGGAGTTCATCACCTGTGAACGTTTGGGTGTTTGGCTTATGCCAAGTGGATTGGTCCGGGTATATCAAAACTGACGGACAGGGCCATTCCAGGAGTTTTTCTTGGTTATGAATTGGGATCGAAGGCTTATAGGATCTATGATCCGGTGAATAAGAAGCTCATGATCTCAAGGGATGTCGTATTCAATGAGCAGAAGGCCTGGAATTGGGGGGAGAAAGGAACAGGTGTTACTGAAGCAGACACTGACACTAAACCGAGTTTCAGTGTGTTCTATCCCGATGAACGAGATTTATTGAAGCGGGGTCCGACAATAGGGGATGCCGCTGAAGATCTCGATGCCTTGGGTGATTCGGGGGAGGCGAGTGAGCCAGCCTCACCTATTCAGTCAATTCTATCCCTTGGGGGTGCAGGTGGTGAGTCACCGTACACTCCGGAGCACTCCATTGGCGGATCAAATGGAGGAAATCAAATCTGATGGGCAACGCCCACCGATGGATAGTCTTTGTGGATTCAGAGGGAGCGCCCGCTGCGGTATAGGACAATACCGAACTCTTTGGATACAACAAATGAAGTCCGGTTGGAATACAAAGTGGGGTATGCTTGGTTAAAGAGAGGAACCAAGTTCGATTGATCAAGCTACAGCAGAACTCTGTTGGAGGAATGCTATGAAAAGCTGAAATGCGAGCAATTGAGTCTAATAAAACTTGGGAAGTTTGTGATCTCGAGGAATCAAAATGCTATTGGTCTCAAATGGGTTTTAAAGTGAAGAAGGATCCTGATGGTAACATTGTCAAGCATAAAGCCGGGCTAGTGGCAAAGGGTTATGCTCAAGTGCAGGAGTTGATTTCGATGAAGTTTTTGCACCAGTTGCTAGGATCGAAGCAAAGTGAGGGTTTTGTTGGCTTTAGCGGTTGAGGTGGATGCCAAGTACACCATATGGATGTAAAAAGTGCATTCTGAATGGAGATTTATGCAAAGCGGTTTATGTGAAGCAGACCCCCTGGTTTCATAGTAGGCAATGGTGACAAAGTGTTGAAGTTAAGAAAGGCTCAGTATGGCTTGAGGCGGGGCACCTAGGGGCTGGAATGGTAAGCTTGACAAGGAGCTTTTGGCTCTAGGTTTTGTGAAAAGCAACATGGATCACGCTGTGTACAAGAGGAATAGCAAGGCCTCTTTTCTCATTGTGGGGGTATATGTTGATGACTTGATCATCTTAGGGCCCTATGTGGGTGACATTGAGAAGTTTAAAGTAGAGATGAAAAGGAAGTTCAGCATGAGTGACCTCGGGCTCCTTAGTTATTACTTGGGGATTGAAGTGAAACAAGGAGAGAAAGGGATCACCTTGAGTCAAGGTTCATATGCGGTGAAGATATTGGAAAGTGCAGGCATGACAAATTGCAATGCATGTGACACCCCAATGGAACCAAGACTGAAGCTCTACAAGAGTAAAGAGGGAGAGGTTGTGGAACCAACATCGTATAGAAGTATTATCGGAAGTCTCGGATACATAGTAAACACCTGTGCCCAATCTAGCCTATTCGATAGGGGTGGTGGTGAGAGATACATGGAGGCTCGGGAAAAGACCATTGGATTGTTTGTCAAACGCATTCTAAGGTACTTGAAGGGCACCATGGGCTACATTTGCGCAAGTATGAGAGAAAGGCATGGGCTAAAACCTATCTTGCTCGGGTATAGCGACGGTGATTTTGTAGGAGATCTTTGAGGATAGGAAGAGCACTACGGGTGTTGTGTATTTTCTCGGAGTAGCTTGGTGACTTGGGCTTCGCAGAAGCGTAAGATCATTGCATTGTCTTCATGCGAAGCGAGTATGTATGGCGGGCGGCAGCAAATATATCAAGGCGTGTGGTTGAGGTGGGTGATAGTTGATGTATTGGGAACAAAGGAGGCGCAAGTGGAATTGGCGATGGACAACATGTCCGCGATAATACGAGCGGGGAATCTGTGCATCATGATCGTAGTAAGCATATTGATACGAAGTTTCATTTCATTCGTGAATGCATAGAAGAAGGAAAGGTAGAGGTGGAGCATGTCGGGACTGCGGACCAACTTGCAGACATTTTCACGAAGTCGCTCGGGTGGGTCAGGTTCGTGGAGCTGAGGAGCGCTCTT